TCCACGTCATCATTTACCCAGAATGCTTTGTGTGGAAATAAAATGGCCTCGTTTGTGTAATATGTTTTTTAAAATTTAGTTTAAGTTATAAAAACTACATAGCCTGTATAAAAACTGTATATGATGCATCAAATGATCAAAGCTTCTTATAGTGTTTTTCTTAACCCTTCTCCCATTCCCAGATTTGTTTTAAAGCTACTTGAGTCACTTTAATGATAAAAGTCACACAAAGTCAGAACATCCAATAAACAGATTTTAAAATGTATTTGTGTTAAACTAAGYTTGAACAGTTGAAGCTGATTTTACTCACAGATGTTTCAGGGTCTGACAGCTCATCCAGTAGTTTTCTGGCATCAACCACAGCTTGATAGAGTCGCAGGTTTTTACCATCTGATGCCACGAAGCAGGCACTGGAGCTGTTACAGTAGGTTCCTGATGGACACAGCAAGTCAGGCTTAATGTTTAGAATCATAAATAATAATAAAATATCACAATAAAACATATGAATCAGTGCTTACCCAGGACAGAGCTGGGCACCAGAGTAGGCAGCCAAGCAACATTGCTGAAGGCAGACGTGTGCAAAGAGTTGATGCGGGCCAGTTCAGAGACCCCTCCGGTGCAGGACAGAGGACCGATGTGGTCCACCCGCCACAGAATCAGCTCGCTGTAAATGGCGTTGGGGTCGTGGAAGGTCCGTGTAGCGGAGTTTCGAAGTCGTTTCCTGATGAAAGCAGAAAATGATCTGAAGTCATAAAAGCCTGTCACCAGTGGTGGGCACTAGTCCCCTAAAGCACTATTAGACAATGAAACCCTTGGTTTTAGACCAKAACATCTCTTTCAGACAGCTTCCTGTTGCGTCCACAGTTAATCCTGTTGGATGTGGTTGGTCCTTCTTGGTGGTATGCTGACATTATCCTGAATACTGTGACTCTTGATTCATCACAAAGACTTGMTGTCTTGGTCACAGATGCTCCAGCAAGACGTGCACCAACAATTTGTCCTCTTTTGAACTCTGGTATGTCACCATAATGTTGTGTGTTGTAATATTTACAGCCAAACTGTGCTCTTACCSTGCTAACTGAMCCTTCACACTCTGCTCTTACTGGTGCAATGTGYAATTAATGAAGACTGACCACCAGGCTGGTCCAGTTTAACCATGAAACCTCCCACACTAACATGACAGCTGTTTCARTTTCACTGTCTAAYCCCTGTATATACAAGGTCATGTGTCAAACTCAAGGCTCACRGGCCAAATGTGGCCTGCAGGTGACTCCYATTTGACCAACCAAGAGCACTAAGTCAAAACATTCTGCACAGTAAATATTGTCTCATGTTGTCTGAAGCATGTTTTWTGTGTCATCTGGATTATATTAGWGCTTTAGAATTAGCTTTTGCTAAATTTTTCAGTGTGTTAGTGCTTTAGAATTAGGGGACCTAAATGTTTGAGTTAGTGCTTTAGAATTAGGGGACCTAAATATTTGAGTTAGGGCTTTAGAATTAGAGGACTTAAATATTTGAGTTAGTGCTTTAGAATTAGGGGACCTAAATATTTGAGTTAGTGCTTTAGTTTTAGTGCAAGTAATATTTAGATTAGTGCTGCCCACCACAGCTAATTTCTTTAAATGATGTGTGGATTTGCGCTTTTTAAGCTTAGAACTGAGTAGCGCTAATCACAAATAATGTTTCGAATTCATCTAAAGTAAAGATAGAGAGCCAACTATATCCATTATGTCTTGTAGCCACATAACTCATTTAAGTTTCATCATCATTTTCCTTCAACATAGGAGGGAAAGCCATCTTTTGTTAACACATTGGAGCTCCGCTGAGTGGAAACAGTGACCTTCAGGTAACATTGTGTTCACAGAGCTTTATACTCTGACTGTCCTTCTGTGTGACACYGGTAGAGATTGTTCCCACAACTCTTTGTGTGGCAGGAAGCAGTTGGAGTTACTTCGCATGGTGACAGTCTACCTGTGGTTCTGATCTGCAGAACCAMGCTCAGCTGTGCAGTTTGTACCTCCTCACTCTGAGGGACACCACAGCAATAAATATTAAACAAATAATAAAAAATAATGAAACACAGAAGGAGGGTCAATCGAACAATTGAATCTCAGATTCAGGAAGAGCAGTGTGGTTTTGGTCCTGGTCGTGGAACAGTGGACCAGCTCTACACYCTCAGCAGGGTCCTGGAGGGTTCATGGGAGTTCAACCAGTCTACATGTGTTTTGTGGACTTGGAGAAGGAGTTCGACCGTGTCCCTCAGGGACTCCTGTGGGGGGTACTCAGGGAGTATGGGGTACCAGGCCCATTGATACAGGCTGTTAGGTCCCTGTAGGACCGGTGTCAGAGCTTGGTCCACATTGCTGGTAGTAAGTCGGACTCGATTCCAGTGAGAGCTGGACTCCACCAAGGTTGTCCTTTGTCACTGATTCTGTTCATAACTTTTATGGACAGAATTTCTAGGCGCAGCCGAGGTGTTGAGGGGATCCTTTTTGGTGAMCTTAGGATCACATCTCTGCTTTTTGTGGATGATGTGGTCCTATTGGCTTCATCAGATCCTGATCTCCAGCTCTCACTGGAGCGGTTCACAGATGGGATGAGGATCAGTGCCTCCAAATTCCAGACCATGGTCTTGACCCAGAAAAGGGTAGGCTGTCTTCTCCGGGTCAGGGAGGAGGTCCTGCCCCAAGTGGAGGAGTTTAAGTTTCTCAGGGTCTTGTTCATGAATGAGGGAAGAATGGAGCAGGAGATCAACAGGTGGATTGGTGCTGTGTCTGCAGTGATGTGGGTGTTGTACCGGTCTGTCGTGGTGAAGAGAGAGCTGAGCCAGAAGGTGAAGCTCTCAGTTTACCAGTGGGTCTACGTTCCTACCCTCATCTATGGTCAGGAGCTTTGGGTAGTGACTGAAAGAAGGAGATCACAGATMCAAGCAGCTGAAATGAGTTTCCTCTGCAGGGTGGCTGGGCTCTCCCTTAGAGATAGGCTGAGAAGMTCAGTCATCCAGGAGGGACTCAGAGTAGAGCCGCTGCTCCTCCACGTCCAGAGGAGCCAGTTGAGGTGGTTCATCTGGTTAGGGTGCCTACCTACCTTCAGTTTTACAACAGTTTAAAATTACTAATATATCTGCATGTTTTCTTACCGAAGCCCTACCATCAATATAAGAAAAAGACCAAGAAGCAGCAGAACTAGAAATCCACACTAGGGGTGTAACGATACATCGATTTATATCGGAATATCGATTTGAATGGTTCATGATTCAAAATGAAAATATCGATCTATATCGTCATCATATCACATTGTATCGATCGCAGACTTGTGAAATGAATTGAAATCGTATCGTGACAGACTTTATACTGAGAAATATCAAATCGTCATCCAAACATATCGATGTAATATTGTATCGTGATGAAGTTGGTGATTTACACCTCTAATCCACAACTAGTTTTTTTACCATGTCTCAAAAGTGTATTTCGACAAATCACCTCYCCAWCCCACGATGACGTGTTAATCTGTGAAAGGAAATGATCTTTCCACTAGTTGGCAGTAAAGTGCTGACATGTCTCATTTATACTGGAATGTTTACAGGTGAACAGAGACAGATTTGTGCCTTATGTTTAGCTTCTGCTACATTTTATTGAGCATATGTGATTTTGAACTTGCGGACCTAAATAATTTGAGTAGCGCTTTAGAAACTGTGCAACTAAATTTTGAATGAGAGCTGCCCACCACTRCCTGTCACACCGTGGTGCAGGCTGCAGCAATGATCCATTTAATTTTCTGATTGCATCATTTTGTACATTTCAGATGCACTTAATGCTTAAAACAAAGGTTTGTGTATTGTTTAATGTGTGTGTTACACATTCTGCACAGAGCTGCTGTGTTGCATCACAGGACAGGAGACAAAGTGGACTGTCACGGTGGAGAGTCTGRCAGCTCAGTATTGATCAGCGCTGCAGCAGAGGGTGGAGCCGTAAACAAAACAAGATGACTCTGATTGGTCCGACTGTGTTGTGTTTGTCTGAAACGGACCGATCCAGGTCTCCTGGGTTCTGTACCTGGGAAGTCCTTTGGGCAGAGGAAAGGTGGGCGGCTGCTCTCCGTCCATGCTGCTGGGGGCGGAGGGCGGGGTGAGCAGAGCGTTGTGGTGGGAGGAGGTGAGCAGCAGCGGCAGCACCGTGTGACACGACTGGTCGTTCAGGTGGAAACGGTGGCCGCAGTAACGGATCTTGTGCGATACGGTCAGAACGTTGGAGAAGCCGGAGCGCTCGGCGAACGTCACGGCCCACTGAGGACAAGACAAACAAATAAAGAAAGTAAACAAACAGACTAGAACAATTAATGCAGAGCGAAGAACGGCTTCGCTGAAGAAGCTAAAACAGAGGAAACAGGAAAACAAACGAATAAACGYCGACTCAGCATTCACACAATCCCAGCTCTGACCTGGTTCAGAGATCCGTCCACATGTTTGGAGACCATCATGACGGCAGGACTGATGCCGGGGCGGAGCTTCGGCGACGGGGAGAYGGCGGTTGAACCCAGGCTGGCTGAGATGGAAGCAGAGCGGGACACTCGTTGGACCATTCGGCCCTGCTCGCCCGTGCCGGCGCTCTCGCCCTCAGTCAGGGTGGAGGCGTACATCAGGATGTTTTTACTCAGAGAGTTGGCGTCACTCGTAGGAAACGCTACGGGAATGCGCGAGGAGAAGGACACCTGGACACAACAAGAACTGGAATCAACTCAGAGCCTCTGCTCCTCAAACATTTTTTACTTTTACAACAAGTCATGAAAATGATTGTGTAACTGCCTGCATCTGTGTGTAACTTTGACTGTTAGCAAAATATCTCCTGAAGCAGTGGACAGGTTTTAATGAAGCTCTCACAAAGTAAAGCTAGGTGCAGCTGAGTGAGAGTCCAGCACTAAACCTCCTTTAAAACAACAAACCTCTCCTTTTATTGTGAAAAAACRTGTTCACTTCCTGCTCCTCCCACCTGAACCTGTCTGAAGATCCCCTGGTTGAACTCATCCAGGTACTTGATGTGCCAGACCAGGAAGGAGCCATCAGTGGGGTGTATGGTGAACAGCATGTCGGGGCTCTTGTTCCACTCGGTGGTCAGGGTCTCCATCCTCCTCTCCAGCAGCATGGAGGGGAGAGGCATGCTGGAGCTGGACCCAGGAGAGGAGGCCTTGGTGCTCCCCTGCTCTCCTGAATCCGCCTCTTCCCCGGGCTCCGACGATGCCTTGTCAGACATCTCGTCCAGGTCTGGAAGATCCAAAACCACAAGCTTTTATGACGAGATGCTGCTTTGGAGCCGTTAAAAACAACAACAACACCATCGCACCAACTGAAACATACCGAAGTCGAACTTCATGGGGGATCCTTCAGGATCCAGAGGGTCCTCGGTGGTCTGTTCCAGCTGCTGTTCGGTGAACTTACGGAGCTGCATCATAAAAAGGTCCATGGAGGAGGTAAAGCTGAGGTCCTTATTGTTGAGCCAGTGAACCACGAAGCCCCCCCCACCGCTCCCATCCTCGGGGTTAAAGACTGTGGAGTCAGCCAGACTTGGTGGGATATCTGACAGGAAAGAAACGAGAGGAAATAAAGATGAGTGATGACGTTTCACGGGCTCTGAGGTTTAATGAAGGTGGATTTTCACCTGTGTTTGGGTTAATGCTGGCTGAGATGTGGAAGTGACACAGCGCATTGGCGTGGTGAGCGATGTGGCGGTGAGTGTGAGCGTCCTGAGTGCCCAGCTGGGACGGCAGCAGCTCGCTGTGAGCCACCAGAGCCGAGGACCGCCGCCGACCCCGGCGAAGCTGCTTCAGGTGGTGGATCGACTGGAGCAGAGCAAACAGTTCACATCATGTCTTTGTTTTATTTGAAGTGCCTGTGACATCAGATTTTTGTGATAAATGTGACCCGTCACGTCGAAACGAGGAAGTGGGAAGTGGAGAAACAGGCAGATACAGGGTTTTGATTTAAACATGTGCAAAAATAGCATTTTGTCAAAACATAATGAATAAATGCCTTATCAATGAATCATTTGAATGAACTGTCTGAAATATAATCCTAAAAACATTTTTGAAGCATTTATTTAACAGCAGCAACAAAAAAAAAAACTGATTTTGAGGAAAACGTCTTAAAATTTTGAGATTTTCTCTGTGAGTTAACAATGTTTTTGTTTCTTTCCAACTGGGAAATCTTAATATACAAAATATTTGAGGTTTTCTCTTTATATTAACAAAACAAATTACTCAATAAAGTTACATAAAATTAGGACATTGCAAACAGTAATGTATTATTGTAACCAACAAGACAAATGAAGTCATATCTCTGGATAAACTGATGATATCAGAATGATCCAGGTATCAAAACGCAGCTTTTAAAGCAGGAATCTGAAAATATGATGAGGTCGTTTTGACCAAATTTGACTTCATCCTCATTTTGTTATGATGGGTCACAAATATGAATGCATTTTAGAAAAAAACAACATTGATAACTTGTTGTATAAAAGACTTCACACCGCTGAGATGAACAGTTGTTGAGATATTTGCATGTGAACAGGAAGTGATGTCAGAGGGGAATGTCTGCATGTAAACACAACGTTGCTACAAAGGCTAACAACACAGACTGTAGAGAAAAATCTGATGTTTCCTTAGATTCTTTTAATCACTATCATAGAGAGATGAGAACAAGTCAGAGTTCAAATAATATTGTTTCAATAAACAAAAACCAGCGAGTTTTCTTTGTTAAAGAGGTCCCTTTTGATGTCACTTCCTGTTTTACTTCGGCTGWGCTAAGTTCAGTAGACAATATGCCATTTATGTGACATAAAATCATGTGTACTATGCCAAGTTTCTTAAATATAAAGCTGTTTTCTTTGACTTTCTGTATTTCATGGATGTGCAGCATGTCACAGGCACTTTAAATGAACACAGTTCCCTGTGAGCGAGCGAACCTCCAAAGCATGCTGGATCTTGTCCTTGTTTCCCGCCAAGCCTGGCAGGCTGGAGCTGAACGAGTGTGTGTTCTCAGTGATCTGTCCTCCAAGAAGACTGTCCTCTGGTAACAGGGTTTCAGACCACAGCCTGCACACGCCGTCCTCACAGGAAGTCAGCAGAACGTTACACACAGAACCCCTGAAACAACAAAAACACAACAAATATCAGCTGATAAACCAGATGGTGTTGTGTTAATACTGGACAACATCTCTTACTTTGGCATGTACTTGCTGGTCTTCCTCCAGGACATGCCGGTGACTGAGCGAGGATGGGCCAAATACACGAAGGAGAAGTGAACAGGAGGGGGCTTTTTATCAGACAGGTCCTGGACCACCACTGCAGAGCGCCAGGCGGTGGTGGGGTACCACACTTTGAGTAAACAGTCATCCTGCAGAGACCCAGGTCAACACACTGATACAGAGCTGATGTTACACAAACATGTTTAAAGATTAATATTATACCTTTCCAAGTGTTGCAAAGTACTCCCCATCAGGAGACCACTTGGCAACGTGAACAGACCCGGCGGTCCTGAGAGAAAAACAACAACATCAGCTGTTTTCACTTCTCCATGATAAATGCTCCATGTGCAGAAAACAAAAGAGGCAGGAAGTCTTTAGCCAACTGTGASAGCTTTAAACAGAACCTACTGCTGGTACATTCAGAGCTGAACTTCCTTGTTCCAGTGACRACCCATGTGTCATCACCTGACAATTACTAACACGGTGCTAAAGTCTGTTTACACAGCTGTAGGCTGCAGAATAATGAGCAGATTAAATCTGATTTTAGTTTTCACTAAACTGTCAGGAAAGGTTAACATTTATAGAGTTTATTATTAATATGAGTTTTTACCTAAAATGACATAAAACCTGGGCTAAACATTTATTATGTTAATTATTCAGGTCAGTTTGCTGTRAAAACATTTTTAGATTTGTTGTATTATAAATGTTGATCTGTTTGTTGTACAAAAATAAAACTGACTTGCACTGCCAGACACAGGTCCAGTCATTTAGGACAGGATGGTTTTTGTCCTCCATCATCTGCCCATCCTCCTCTTCTATCAGGGCATCTGTCAGTGGAGGAGCCCACAGCTGGAGTCGCTCCGTCGCTGCCAGGATACGATTCCCTGAGGTCACAAACGCACTGAATTACACACCTCGTATCACACAATGACTCCTACTGCACACAGAGGCACACACATGAGGTGAGGCTTACATAAGACTGAAGTAAGTTCAGGCAAATTAAAGTGGAATGGGGCAGACCTGTACCATGGATCAGACATGTTGGAATTGTGTCTAACATAAAATAGTCTAACATTTACTACAAGAGTGTAAACTATGTGTAACATAAATTATATGGGTGTAAACTGTGTGTAACGTAAATTATATTGGTGTAAACTGTGTGTAACGCAGATTATAAAGGGTATAAACTGTGTGCAACATAATATTATAATGGGTGTAAACTGTGTAACAGATTATAGGAGTGTAAACTGTGTGTATCATATATTATATGGGTGTAAACTGTGTGTAATGTAGATTATAGGGGTGTAAACTGTGTGTAATGTAGATTATAGGGGTGTAAACTGTGTGTAATGTAGATTATAGGGGTGTAAACTGTGTGTAATGTAGATTATAGGAGTGTAAACTGTGTGTAATGTAGATTATAGGGGTGTAAACTGTGTGTAATGTAGATTATAGGAGTGTAAACTGTGTGTCACATAGATTATATGTGTGTAAACTGTGTGTCACATAGATTATATGTGTGTAAACTGTGTGTCACATAGATTATATGTGTGTAAACTGTGAGTAAAGTAAATCATAGTGGTGTAAAGTGTTAGTAACATAGATTATAAGGGTGTAAACAGTGTAACACATGMTATAGGGGTATAAAGTGTGTGTGAATTGATTCATAAGGGTTTTAACTGTGTGCTGTGGGTCATAGCTCGAACACAGAAAGCTGAGGTATACCTTGTGGGTCCCAGGCCAGGTTGTAGGTGATGGCATCAAGAAAGAACTGTCCTGTCTTTTGCCACTGATAGTTAAGTTGCTGTTAGTGGTCGGAGGGCGAGACACACCATGCAAGGTTATTTGCACACAGGTTTGAGTAAATTCACCAGATGCTGAGTGAAATCATTCCCTGACATYGATACTCACCTTGTGTCGTTGATTTGGGTTGGTAGAAAGAGGTTCAAAGATGCAGACTGTGTTTCCGTAAGATGCAGCAATCTAAAAATAAAGAGCCATGTTCGTCATCAGAACATTACTCACCTCATCAGTGCTTTGGCTTCATTATTCCCAGAGGACAGGAGTAGGTAGGGAGCGCAGCGGATCAGTGCAAACATGGCTAAATGTACGTTTTTGTGTTCAGCTGAGGTAATAATGTCCTCTGGCTCCACTGGAAGTGTGTGAGAAAGTGACACTTACCCTGCCCAGCTGGTGGGAACACTCCACACAGCCCACCTGTATGTTTCCATTCTGAGCTCCAGGGATGATCTGAACACAGTCAAAGTCACACGCCAGGATCACTACGTCACAACCTGAGCCGTAGGCCTGGAAAAGACAAGAAAACGCAGATCAAACCTAAATGAATGTAGACGTTAAAAAGCTTTGAATATTACAGTTACTGTACATTTAGTTGTTTATAGTAGTTATAATAGTAAATAAAGCAGACTGACTGAATGTAAAACTGTAAAGAAGCAGCTCTGACAGCAGGAGTCTCTGCAGCACTCAGTGTGGGGCTGCAGAGCCAGCACTGACCTGCGGGGCTGCAGAGATCCACAGCTTTGACCCACCTTCACCCYGCATGTCCTACAGGTGGTTGAGGTTAAAGTGTTGTGAAACAACACAGCAGAACTCTGTGATTGACGCACTTTAAATGTAAGATGGTGTAAAAATCATAAAACCCTGTTTCCATCTGAACAACCAAACATTCTGTTTCTTCTAAAGTCATGTCAGAATATTTTCACATCTTTGCCTCTCCTCGTGGTCATCAGAAAACATCAGCACAATTCGCTCACAGCTTCTCCACACACGTTGTTGCCTTCTTAGCTTCTATATCTTTAGATATTTAAAGTATCTACCTGTGAACTGTAGCTTTTAYAGAACTGATTTGAAGTGTGAGCCCAGAACAGCCCAACTAACRCAGCACTCGTCCTGTTGTGACTCAAAGAAGTCAAATGTTTGCTGCAGGCAGGACTGACCTCGTTCACTGCAGTGGAGCTCCTGAGGTGTGCGGCTMAAGGCGCGCTGTTGGTTTATCACTATAGTGTTGTGAACACAGTCAGGTGTTTCACCTGTTTGTTCAGTTTAAGTCATTGACTCTGATGCTGCTGCCCAACAGAYGGCTTCAGAGTAACAGTCACAGATGTACAGAAGATGATATATCTGGCTGTAAACACTGAGTCATGGATGCATCTTTAGGTGTCATGTGACCAGTGTCTGTGTCAGGGTTGTTTAAAGKACCACAAAGTGATACTTCAGTAAAAGTACAAGTATCTTACCAAAAAATTACTTTGGTAAAAGTTAAAATCTCCTTTAGGAATATTACTTAAGTAAAAGTATTAAAGTGTCTGATATATTTTGTACTTAATTAAGTATTCAAATTAAAAGATTTAAATTGAGCAATTAGTCAATTATGCATGTTTTGGGGCAGTTACCTCCTAATAAATGTTATTACAGAAAATCTATGTTGTATTAAAAGAATGAATGGATGTTAAATTTAGGATGCACTAGTCCAGCTGTTTCAGTTTATATACATATATCAAGGCTGCACAAAGCTTTTCCCCAAAATGAAAATCTATCTGAGGGCTGCGGCCAAATGTAAGAATATAATTCATGAAATACAAATACTTCTTAAGTACAGTCCTTTKATTTGAATGATTCTGTCCTGCTGGAGTGTGACATGATTTGTTTGTGTACAAACTAATACACTATCAGAGTTTTATATATTTATACTTCTCATTCAACCACAGTTAAATTCACTCTATCTAGGAGGCTCAGTTTATATGGATAGTTTTTATTTTTTACAACAACAAGCTGCTATGAAAACAAGCAGAAATGAAATAAAAGTAACAACTTTATACTTCTTGTCTTTTTTAAAAATGTAAGAAGTAGAAAGTACAGATAGCTGTGTGAAACTGTAAGAAGGAGAACTAAAAAGTAGTAGTCTAAAAAAAATTACTCAAGTAAAGTACAGATACCCATAAAATCTACTTAAGTACAGTAASAAAGTATTTGTACTTAGTTACTGTACAACTCTGGTCTGTGTGTCTAATGTTCAGGTAAATACCAAGGAATCTGTAAGTTTCTTCTTCAAAGCATGCAATTTATGACCTGTTGGGTTGCCGTACAGTCTCCTCTCTTCACTGAAATGTTTCCATACGGTGGATTTAAACCAAGCAGGCAGCTGCTCAACTCAAGCTTCTCTGTCTCATCTGAACTCTTGCTTTGCTTTGATGTAAAGTGCTTTACATTTAGATTATTTACTTTTACTCTGTTAGAAAAATGCAGATAAAAAGTCTCCTGTGAGTGAGACACAAACTCACCGTCTGGTTCTCTGTACCAAGAAAGTAAAGTACAAATCCATGTACCAGTACTAAGTTTTTGACATTGGCTGGGAGGTAAATTGATCCAACTGTAGCTGCTGTCAGCTGGCAAACAAAAGCAGGACGGGAGCGACGGCTGCAGCACCTGGGAGACAGGTGAGCGGCGGAGGGGTCAGGACGACTGCTCGTGTCGTTCATTATTCAGGAGAACAGGAGGAGGAGCTGAGAGTAACCGGGCCGGACAACAGAACAGAACCACGGCTGGACGGTGAGGCTTTCAGCTGGCCTCTGAACGCTGCTAATGTAGGAAGTGGTGAGGCAGCTGCAGCGTGGGCTTCACTGTTACTGAGGCACTGGCTCCATTAAGATCAGTCACCGTCACGCACTGTCTGCAACACACACACACACACACACACACACACACACACACACACACACACACACGCTCTCCTCTTTGTCACTTAGATAAATTACACACAGTGACCTGCTAAGTTTTAGTGTTTCTGCCTTAAACACCATGACTTGTCATCACTCAGCTCACCTCTGGCTCCAGCCTTGTGTTCTCCATCTATCAACATCTAGGTACCCACAACTACACACACACAGACACACACACTGCTGATGCCACACAAAGGAAATGTTATGAACAGATTGTCCCAGGATAATCCTGACACATCACAGTAAACCAGCAGAGCACCGGCCTCATGGATTATATTTTAATGCATCACAAAAACACTAAATTAAATACAAAACAAGCTTTTATGTTACTAATGTGATAAAAACTGCCTGTTAAGGTGGCGTCACACTCAAAATGAAAAGAAATCTGGTAAATTTCAGTGCTTTGGGACCAACGAGCCAGTTTTAATAAATGCTGACCTATTTTTGCCTGCATGACTCGCAAAACTCTTCTGCTCTACGTGAACGTTTTCATCCACCAACACATGTAGCTGATCCACGTTTATCACTCAATCTGCTGGAGAGTAGAAATGAAAACATGCAGGTTTGCAGCAGTACTTGTTAATTATTTATCATCGGCGTGGACTGTAACGTCTGTAGCTTCTTCCTGAGCTCCTCTGCAGGAACCAGAACAGCTCCAGATCTTCAGGAGGATTTCTGTCATCATTTCAAAACATTTTTAACAAAAAGGACTGCCAGCCTAGTTACAGGTGAGGAAACCAAGAACTGCAGGTATTGTTGCAGTTTTCCTTGTGAATGCTCTTCACTAACTAGTCACCATGGTTTGATTTGACCTGAAGCATCCAGAAGAAACGTTTGTGTTACCACACAGTGACAACACACTGCTGGTCTACTCTGAGGTTTTACTGAATACAAACTGTTTGCAGATGTTGATCTGCAGGAGGAGATGGTCAAAGTGTCTGCAAAATGATTTTATTGTTTGGTTTTGTTTCTGAGGTGGACTGACTGATCCTGAACCATAAAACAGGACCTGCTGGGTCTCATGACTTTCATGTGACTGAGACTTATCAGGTCTGCTGAACACACAGCGCACCCTGCACACCTGAAGCAGCCACAGGAAAGAGACGTTTGAAGATGAAAAATGTTTGTATTTATCAGTAAAGCTGAATTTTTATCTTTGTTAGACTCTTAAAGACAACAAAGGTAAAGTAACAGAGCTGCAGCTGCCTTTAGAGCAGATTTAAACTAAAGCAGTGACTGAGGTCATGTGATGTGATGAAGATAAGAGGAAGAGGACGACAGCATTTCTGCTGTTCTTCCATCTAACAGCAGATCTTCCTCACTGATCTCCAGCTGGTTGTGGGAGTTAAAGCAAGCTTTGTGTATCAGATGATATTATCAGCTGTGACCTGCAGTAATCTGCTGCTCAGTCAGTTTGTCTCCCTGCAGCCTGACCTTTGACCCTGCAGTCTACAGTCAACATTTAGGACTTCTGTTCTCTGCTGACAGCGAGAAAACAGCAGGTTTACAATAAAACTGCACAACATCCAGCTTCAAACACTCCAACAACACAGTTATTGTCATAAAGCTGCTGCACTTTTTAAAGGGATCCAGGATTAGTTGTAACATTAGACTTTATTTGATAAACATTTATTTTAACTGTAAAATAAAGACTGTAAAAATACTGCAGGATGTTTAGTTTTTATAATTTTTAAACTACATTTTAAAATATATATATATATTACACGAAAGGAGCCATTTTATTTGCACACAAAGCATTCTGGGTAAATGATGACGTGGATAGGTCCTCGGTGCGAGGCTGCTAGCGAGCTATATCCACCCTGAAGGTTAATCTTGGACAATATCTGATGATCGACTCTTTTAAATGAAACCAGAGAGCGTTGACAGAGAGGAGAAGGTAGAAATTAGCGCGACAAACAAGCTAACCTGAGGTCCTCCATCCATATTTTCAGTTACAGCTGAGTCATTTTTGTGTTCCCCTCTCTGTCATGTGGATGGAGGACCTCAGTGAGAGGAGAATGTGTAGCGCTGAGCTAATACATATATATGGTGATAGCATCGGGGCTAGCGCTAAAGCTAACAGGCTAATCTGAGGTTGTTCTTCCATGAAGCAGCTCTGTTGTCCTCCATCCATATTTTCAGTTCCAGGCTGAGTCATTTCTACCTTCTCCTCTCTGTCAACGCTCTCTGGTTTCATTTAAAAGAGTCGATCATCAGATATTGTCCAAGATTAACCTTCAGGGTGGATATAGCTCGCTAGCAGCCTCGCACCGAGGACCTATCCACGTCATCATTTACCCAGAATGCTTTGTGTGCAAATAAAATGGCCCCGTCCGTGTTAAAATATATTTTAAAAAATGTAAGCAGTTTATTTATACAGTCAGGAAGTGTCAAAGATCGTTTGTCTTCACAGTGTAAAGGGCTCGACACACGGGAGGCGACGTCGCTCTCTCTCCATTCATTTCCTGTGGAGCCTGTGCGGTGAGGCGACAATCTCTTGCCCTCCTCCAGCTAAGAGACCGGTGAAAATAGTGCATGTGAAATTTCGCGCTCGTACACGTAGACGTGCACACGCTAGCTTGCGGCGCGACATATGAAAGTTGAAAAATGTTTAACTTTTGTCGCCGTCGCTTAGCGTACAACCAATCAGCGAGGGTTTCACTGACTGACCAATGAGAGGAGAGTATGCTACACACTGCAGTTAGCTAACACTTTCACCAAGTGATTACTAAAAAGCTTTGTGGGAATTTATTGGCACCAGGGTGAAGTTTATGGTAAGTTTTTCCTCATAAAACTGTATCTTGATGTGTGTTTGTTTTTCAATATCATTAGCATCGCAAGATTTGTTTAGTTTACACGTCCGTAATGCACACCCCCTTCAGAGGCAAGAACCAATCAAATTTTGTGAAGACAAGCGACCTGAGAGCGCGATTCRCAACGCTGCGATCGTTATCGCGTCCCGTGTGTCGGGTTTCACCCTGGCTGCGATGACAGCCGTTAATCGCTGTAGTTTGTCGCTCCCCGTGTGTCGAGCCCTTCAGAAGATGTGTCCAACAGCTTTTAACTGACATCGAACTCCAACCATTCTGAGAAACACAGAAAATCAAACTGTTGTTTTTCCTCCAGTTCATCCCAGTCTGAGAGAGAAGAGCCAAACTGGTCTGACAGAAGACTCTGAACGAGCAGACACGTCTTAAAGACATGTCCTTCAGTGTCTCTGAGGACAAACCTGATGAGACGCTGCAGACCAGGAGCTGCTGCTCTGGGTCAGGTCCTGGAGCCTTTAGGGGTCAGTGTGAGTGTAAACACTTTGGACATGATGTCTCGTGGTCTTCAGACCCCCGACACCAGGCACAGAAACCAAGGCCCGGTGGCAACGAGCCAGGCTTTAGCTTCACAACCATGTCTGTCCCCTGCTGCTGAGCAGATACGACCGCAGGGAGAACGTCCGTCTGTTTCCTCCAAACTGTCCTGATCTGGAGACAGAGGGACGCTGAGGGGACGGGCAGCGCCTGCAGCTTTATCAGAATCAGCAGGACGAGTTGTCTCTGAATCCCTGCAGACCGAGGACGTCACACACAGGAGAAGAGCTGCATTTCTGAAAACACCTCACTACAAACATCAAGACCCAAACCAGAACCAGAACCAGAACCAACCATCAGAGCCAATAAACAAGCCAGTTTTCCAACATGACAGATGTTGTGCTGCAGAACCTTAAAACCACAAACTGTGTTTCTATGTTCTGTTTTTATTTCAGTTCTATTTCCTGTCACCATCAGGAGAGGAGGTGATGTAAGTGTGATGACCTGAAGGGTTTTTAAAAACAACAATATGTTGGAGTAATGAGCAGACATTTCTCTCACACACAGTTGAATAATGATGTCTCGTTTGCTCGAGGCTGAACCAGAAGTATCTGTCAGGAAAAATAGGATTTATTTTACATCCTAAAGCCAAACAGTTGGGCAGAAATCATACCGTGTGCAAATAATCACCAGTAAAACTGTCAACAATTAATATTAATATTTATTCATATGGAGAAGCTAACGCTAACCCTGTGAATCTGTCTGATCACCTGAAACACTGCCGTAAACCGGAGAACGAGCAAAGCCAGGAAACGAGGACCAAGGCCACAGCGTTGGCTACACATATTTGTTAACTATTAATCATTAGCTGAGGAGTGCCACAATTAATCATGATATATTTTTATTTGGATACTGCCCAATCTGGTACTGAACACATCACAAACACTGCATTTTTGTTTAATCAGTATGTCAGAAACAAACAGTACGCAGTGAAGGAATAAACATCACTGCCACTTTTTTAGGTCAGAAATGTGGACTTAAACTGCAGCTATTTTTGTTTAATATTTTCAATTCAACACTATGTGTTGAGGATAACTCTCAGCTACTACCACACCAGGTTTTATATCCATATCTATAAAACTGACTGAGATATAACCATTTTTGTGTTAGCTAAGGTTGATTAGCTGTGGCAGCCATTTTAAAACGAGCTGGCTCCCAAAGTTAATCAATTGTAGTCAAACATCCAGTGATTACTTCCTGAAAGTTTAATTCAAATCTGAGCAGTGGTTGGTGAGATATTTTGCTAACAGACAGCTTTGCCATGTTGTCAAAATTTAAACTAAGATTTTATATAAGCTGTTAGCCCTCTGAATGTGTGTTGGAGATCAGTCTCAGATACTACCACACCAAGTTGTACCTTAATATCTGCAAAGATAATTAAACTGTAGCCATATTTGTGTGTTTTATGTTCAGTTAGCTGTGGCGGCCATCTTGAATCAGATTCAGTCCAAAAGTTAAACAGTTGTAGTTGAATATTAATTGATTATTTCCTGAAAGTTACATTACAAACAGTGCAGTGGCTTTTGAGATATTTTGCTAACAGAAGCACGGGTGTAAAAACATAATCGTCCGCCGTTCAGCAGTCCAGGACAGGGCACGTGACGTGTCTACAAACAATGGCAGTAACTCGTGAGTGTTGACATGAAGCTCCACCGTTGTTTCCTGCTGCTCAGCCTTTTAGCGCATCACCTGTCCTTATAAGGCGGCCTACGTCACGGCTCTGGCGCAGCTGATGCTGGGATGACAGCGGGCTAACCGATCCGTGAGGAGGAGGAGGATTTAACGCCAAATGGAAGCGAGCTCCGGCTGCTTCCACCTCCAGACACAAACAAACACGAGCTGCCGTTTCTCCAGCGTTTCCGGTCACTCAGCACAGATGAAGCTGCAGGTTTCCCTAAAGATGCGATAATAAAGCCAGGGAATCCCACCGTTACAGGATGCAGCTAAAGGTCACCGCGCGACGTTAAACGCTTTAGCTAACATTTACAGAAGCTAACAGCTAACAGAAGCTGTGTGTGAATAAATGTCGGTGCGGCGGTTTAACCCGGCTAGTTGGTGCTTTAGCTAACTCGCGAGCTCAGCGCCGAGCATTAGCGAAGCTAGCTAGCTTCAGTCGGTGTCGCCGCTGAGTAAATAAAATAAAACCTCACCGTGAACGGAGTGTCGTTGACGCTCCCCACCGAGTAGCAGCAGTCCCCGGGGTTCACGGCGCCCGTCAGCACCTGGTGCAGATGCATTCTTCCTCCCGCTCGGCAGCAGATGAGGGGGCTTCTTTTAATTATTTACAACGAGCCCACCCTTCAGGTCCCCCCGTCCAGCGACGACTCGGAATCCCATCAGGAGGGTCTCAAAGCGTCGTGGTTCCTCCGCGGCCCCGGCAGGCAGAGAGCCGTTCAACCCCACCGGAAGACGGCGGCGCTGCGGGCTGTGAGCCGTTCCGCGCGTTCATGTAATTTCATCAGGTCCCGGCAGGTTTTTAATCATTAAAACCCCGCTGTCAGCACCGTCCTCCTCAGAGCCGACCGAGCCAGGCTGCGGGATCTGCAGCGCTCCTGACATGCGCGTTCACGCCGCCGTCACGGCACGACTGGACCAGCATAGATATACAACACCTAGAGTCACTCAACAGCGTCCAGCTCACTGCGCTCCTGATGACTGTACGTGTTTTCTATATCACGATCTATGTTTAATGTGGGTTWAAAACTTTATATTTTTATTTACCTCATACTCTACTTTTTTAAAAAAAACTTTTAGCTTTTTCTGGTCAGACAAAAATATACAGGAAAAATCCAACAATTGTGAAAACTATTAAAATATTACATTTTTAAAATGAATTGAAGAAACCTGAATGTATTTCAATGCAGGAAATGGTAAACAAAGCTGAAATAAGTTAATATTTTTGTTCACTTTTTTCTCACTACATTATTTGCAGTCTAATACGAAGGACCGATCTTGCCACAAGTAGAAATAAATGTATAAATTATAATTTGGCAAATATTTCACCAAAAACGTTAAACAAACGCACTTACACAACTTATTTGATTGTACAGTACGGGATAAATTAGTATTTGTCATTTTAAACAGTATTAATTTGATAACAATTATTTTATTTCCATTTAATTTAAAATCTTTTCAAAATAATTAACTTTTGTATTAAATTATTATTTTTCTTTTTTCTGTATTTTTATATTCTTTACTGTCGCATTTTATTTTATTTTTCTCTTATTCTGTATTTATTAAATATTTTTTATTTAGTGGCACATTATCATACATTGATTTATTTTCTCCTCTATTTCCTCTTTGCATTTTTTCTACTTTTGTTTTCTCATCTGTTTATTTACACTTCTCTTTTTTCTTCTCCTCACTTCCTCCTGAMGATCAATCCTGACAATAAATGACTTTATCAAGTCATTTATTAATTTCTGTATTTATTTCCAGTTTTGTCCTCCGTGATTGTTCAGCTTCTTCAGTGACTTTTTATAAATTTTATTTTTTTTCACAAATATTTTCCATAAAAACACATTTAAATTTATTCAGTTCCTTTTACAATATCTATTTTTGAAATCTGCTTCAGCTGCTGGCTCTGTTTTTGTCTTTTTATGTTACTTTTATGTTTTATGTAGCCTTCAGCTAACATAGATTTTACCTAATTGTTTTTCTGTTTTAGCTTTAAGAAGAATTTCACTTCTTTAAGTTTTTAGTTAGTGTTTTGATACGTTTAGCTTTATGCTTTAGCTGAATCTGAACCATTCATTCCACCTGAAATGTTAGAAATGTAAAATAAAACAACTGTCACGATCAGTCAACTAGTCACGATTAGTCAACTAGTCACGATCAGTCAACTAGTCACGATTAGTCAACTAGTCATGATTAGTCAACTAGTCATGATCAGTCAACTAGTCACGGTTAGTCAACTGGTCACGATTAGTCAACTAGTCACGATCAGTCAACTAGTCACGATTAGTCAACTAGTCATGATCAGTCAACTAGTCACGGTTAGTCAACTGGTCACGATTAGTCAACTAGTCACGATCAGTCAACTAGTCATGATTAGTCAACTAGTCACGATTAGTCAACTGGTCACTATTAGTCAACTGGTCACGGTTAGTCAACTAGTCACGATTAGTCAACTAGTCACGATAAGTCAACTGGTCACTATTAGTCAACTGGTCACGGTTAGTCAACTAGTCACGATCAGTCAACAAGTCACGATTAGTCAACTAATCACGATCAGTCAACTAGTCACGACTAGTCAACTAGTCACGATCAGTCAACTAGTCACAATTAGTCAACTAATCACGATCAGTCAACTAGTCACGACTAGTCAACTAGTCACGATCAGTCAACTAGTCACAATCAGTCAACTAATCACGATTATTCAACTAGTCACAATCAGTCAACTAGTCATGATTACAGTCGACTAAAATCACCGACTAATTTAATCAACGCGTTTTTGTTTTTTTCTAACTTTGTTTTTCTCTCCAAACTGCTGCGGCACCTTCCACTGGCTTCCTGTCCTTGACACACATGCACAGTGGTAATTAGTGCTGCCACAAACGATTATCTGTGATTAGTTGACCATAAAAAATACAGTTAGAAAAAAATGAAACATCAACTATTAAATTAGTTGTTGACCATTTTAACAGTTGACATAATCGTGACTAGT